AGCCAATGGTGAGTCCTACTACTGCGGAAATGACCATACTCGATGGTACCTCACCGTGTGTACAGGAGAATTCAAATTCTTTATATAGCAACCAGGATCCTTGGAATTTACATCATGATTCTCATTTCCCTCCTCCCAAACCTAGTAAACTTCAGCTAAAAAAGGAAGCTGTTGGCACCAAGGGCGAGAATCGTTTTGGCAATACCAATGAGTTGCCAACTACTACTAATGGTGGATTACAAACACAAATTCGGTTGGAGGATGGAGCTTACCTTCCCTCTGGCAATACAGATTACAGTTCAGATCAATCATGGTCTAAGAAAGGTGAGAAGCTTCGATTTTTCTGGAATTCAGTATTGGTAGGTCATCTTATATACTTGCCGTCCTAAAGTTTTCCTTTCCTATTTGCTATTGAAGGCTCAGAGGAGGAAATGATCAAGCAAGAACTTCAGGCTGTTGCTGAGGGTGTCGCTGCTTCTGTTCTCCAGTCATCAACTCCATCTAATGCTGACCTTTCCTCACGTGGGAGGAGTGAGTCCCCATCTTCAAGTCAGCAGAATGTTGAATTTGAAAGCATTAATGCCGGAAAGGACCCCAAGGATAAATTTGAGGTCTTAAATTCTCTCACACAAACAACAGCTGCTGCTATGCAAGTTGTTTGGAATCAGTTTCTTGTATCTTTTCTTTGCCAGTCTTGCTAATCAGAAGTAATGTTTGTTCAGGAAACTAAAACTAAATTTCCAGAGAGAGCGAATTTTGGGTTTCCTGTATCAGGTGGCATTGGACGCTTGCAGGTTCGACATTTCTTGTCCAGTACAATTCCCATAATTTGTTATACCTAAATGGAAAAGTGAACTTATCTTTTACTGTCACTGCCACTGCCATGTAGCAATTCTTTCATTTTCCCATGTTTTGAAAATGCATTCTTGTGAATAGATTATAAAGAATGATGACCTCGAGGAGATTCGAGAATTGGGTTCTGGTACATTTGGCACTGTTTATCATGGAAAGTGGAGGGGTACTGATGTTGCAATTAAAAGGATTAATGACAGGTGTTTCGCTGGGAAAGCTTCAGAACAAGAGCGTATGGTTGGTATCTTTTTCCTTCTCCTTTCAAATTTTTACTGTCTCTCATCTTTATCCTTACACCTGATGATTTAACTAATCTATCCAAGATCTTTGCATCTTTTATCCATGTTTATAATATGTCTGTGCTTATCTTTTTCATTTAGAGGGATGATTTCTGGAATGAGGCCATCAAACTTGCAGACTTGCACCATCCAAACGTTGTTGCCTTCTATGGTGTTGTGCTAGATGGTCCGGGTGGCTCGGTGGCGACTGTTACAGAATATATGGTTAACGGGTCCTTGAGAAATGCTTTACAAAAGAATGAGAGGTGACCTTTCTTTTTGTTCTTGTTTTTGCTTGCATGCATTAAATGGAGTTACTGTGTTATTGGTAATTCAATCTTTACTTCCATATGAAGATATTTGTAATAGAATCCTAATTCGTAGTTACTTAATTTGCTTTTTTTTAATACCACTGAATTTTGGGTTAAAGTTGTTTTAGGGTTGACCTCTGCTGTGGTTTTAGCGATTAAATAATTTGGTGGTATAAACTCATGTCTTCATGCAATTTTAGGGCAATGGTAGGTTAAAGGCCACATCATTTTCAGATGGATTTTTTCAAGTGTGCCATGAGGGTAGGGTGGTTCCTGTAGTTACTTAGTGGATGAGTAGGTTTCTTTCACGACATTGACCTTGATTTTGTGGGATCAGATTGAGCACATATAGTACTCTTCTGCATACAATAAAATTGTGTACTATTTGTGGTGTTACGCATAAACAATGGGATGACTAAATGCATCACGTACTGTCTTCAGGAATCTGGATAAGAGGAAACGCCTCGTGATTGCCATGGATGTTGCATTTGGAATGGAGTATCTTCATGGGAAGAATATAGTGCACTTTGACTTGAAAAGTGACAACCTGTTGGTTAATCTGCGTGATCCCCACCGTCCAATATGCAAGGTAAGTCATCACCGGGATATAGTTTTATTTGTTAGTTGATCAAAAATGATATGCATAAATGCTAAAGATTTAGTAGCCAATTATCTCAACAAGGGTAATAAGTGTTACATCTCTGTCTTACAAATGTTATTATATGTTGACATCAGAGACTAATTCAAGTTTTATGCACAGCTAGGAGTTCGCTGATGGTTAATTGTTCTACCTATTTTAGTAAAACATCACCTAATAACATTTTTGCGGTGGTTCTGAGTTCTCATTGAACTAAAGAAAGTAATTGAATGTTATATTCCGTATTTGCAAATCTGCAATGGAAGCATTATTTTCTATGCATGAGGTAAGAAGTCTTTTAAGTAAGGGAGTCCTAAGCCCAGAATGGGGCAGGTAACTACAATGAAAGATGTAAAGGGATCACAGCTTGACATTAATAACTGAATATTCGTTGTAATCTGATACCCAAGTATGACACATCTGAACCTGAAAGATCATCACTCTCATTGAGTAACATACTAGATCTTGGAGGTCTTATCAAAATTTAAAGAAAGATTTAGAGCTTGGAGGCTGCTTTTGCATTTGAGGTAATGCATTTATTACTTAACATCTCAAGAAGTTCCCAGCTGAAGCAGTTACATCGTAGTTCAAAACTGATAAACTTTGTATCTCCCTCAAAAAAAGAAGCAGGTATTGTAATTTATGGTTTGAGATACAATAGATGATGTGCATTATTTCACATTGGGTGTAGTAGAACATCTTGATATAGTAGCCAGCCTTGAGATGGCGCCGAAAGCAAAAATCCTTCACTTTTTGGCTTTTCCAGCCTTCTAATCTTCCATGGCTTATCCTATAATTGAAAACAATTGAGTTTTATACCATTTGTCAGAAAGTATGAGGGACCCCATCCTTAGAAAATGACATTGTTCATTCTTGCACCTGTTCTCTTCCCTTTCAAATTAAATGTTCCTCCAAACTATTACTGGAGAAGGTGACCCATGATAGTCTCTGTGGCTACTTCACCCAGGTTGTGTACAAGGTCTATCACATTAAATTACTTTTAAGATCCTCCATAGACCTTATTGCATTCCATTGGCATTAACACTGGATGTCATATACACTGGGTTTTTGTTTGAGACTAGCTGCGTGCTCCTGGGGTCAATGTTTAGGGGCTTAGAGTGGTTATGGTTTCTGCTTATTGGGTGGACCTGCATTTTCTGTGTGGTCAAATGTAATGACCTGATGTGGTGAGGTAGAGATTAAATTCAAAGACCTCATTGCGCGAACCAGTTTGAGCAGGTAATTTTATAAGGTGATAAGAATATCATATGTAAAACTTCATCAAAGAACTACAGTATGTGCAGTAGGTTCAAAGCCTGCTGCAGACAAAAGTTAGGTATTTAAGTGGAGAAGGGTAGAGGGATTGGTCCATTATCTATTGAGTTTCAAACCATGCGGCACTGGTCCTTGGGGATTTCTTGCTTCTTTAGAAAACCTACAATAGGTGCGTAGGCGCCTTCTCTAATTCTTTCAGTTTAGAAAACCTGGATCGTGAATGAAATTTTATTTCTCCCGTGTCAAAAAGACCTCCATAGTTCAGGTTATATATGCCTGAGCAAAATAGGAAAAATTACTCTATACTCGAGCTAATGAGGCTTTAAGTTTTAGGTGACATCAATTGTGCTTAGGCGTGTCAACTGTTACCGCCCTATCGAAATAATACCAAAACAATCCAGCTCATCTAATTTTCTTTAGTTATTATTTGTGCTGTTTAGGGCAATTGTATTACTCTTCTAGACACCATAAGAACATAATTTCATATTTATGCTCAGTTAAAATGGTTAGGCATATAAAAATTTTATTTAAAGAATAACCTTTGCTGAATGTGAATGGACCTTGCTTTGATCTTAATTGTTAGATGTATCCATCATCTGTTATCTTACGGTTATTTTCCTAGAGGATTGTGGTTATATGAAGAATTTTCATATCTATGGATGTTAGGCACTTGTTGTCATGGTGACATCATCTTGGTTTGTGCTACTTAAGTGAGTACTGAGTAACTAAGCCATTTTAAGGTATTGGAACATCAAGAGAGAAACCAAGTCCTCATGTTTAAATAAACATCCAAAGGAGGCAAAAACACTAGGGTGATTTCCTCCCATTTCTTCAAGCCTTGGTGGGCAAGGGTACCTGTGCTAGTAGGAGGTTGCAGTTATCCCGCATAATTAATTGAGGTGTGCGCAAGCTAGACTGGACACCGTACTTGCAAAAAGAAGACAGAGAAATCAAGTTTTTTTCTATCCAAGAGTATTCAGGTTTTTGTATTTTCTTTTCCCATGCTTTCAACTTTAGCTTTTGGATGTCCTTAGGGGTTTGTTATGTTAGTAGGGATGTGATAGACAAGGATATCCCATGAGATAACAAACAAGTATTGAAAGGAAATACAGGAGTGGAGAAGTCATGATGAAATAACGGGGAAGAGGAACAGTAGAAACAACCAATAATATGTTAATTCAAGCCAAGGAAATAACATATATAAAATTATTAAAGGTGTTGTGAGTAAATATGTTTGGTGGCAAGAAATTGGCAGCATAGCAAGTTATAAATCCAAATTAAAAACCTAAAATTGCATTGTTGTCCAAATCTGAAGTGTAAGATGGTTACTAAATTTGACTGCTACATTTTTTCCCTTTTTATATGATTGGAGTTCTTTATTTCTTTGTTCAACTATGTTTTGTTTGTAGTTTGTACTACTTTTTTCCTGCAATACACATATGTTTGCCTTTTCTTTACTAAAGCTTACGTTGGTTCTGTTTTTGCTTGCATCTCTGGAAAGGCATGGTCCTTTTCTATGCTTTTCACATTTGAGGATTCGACAACAGTGATCCATGGCTCATGTCACTGGCATGTCGCTGCCTGTGTTATTAAAAAGGCGAAAAGCCTAAAGAAGTTGTAAGGTTTTTTTTGGGGGGCTTTTAAGCACAAATAAAACGTGGGTTTTAATAAAAATAAAATGTGGGCTTTAGTGAAGAAAGGCATTAAGGGAGAAAAATTACAAAGCTATATGTTTAGGTCAAGACTAATATTTATAAGCCGAATAATAAATATACGGGCAACGCAATTGAAATTTTTATGATAAAGTGAAATTTGAATTGTTTTGTGCAGTCCCTTTAGGAATGTTAATTGGGAAGGAAAAGTATGCTCTAGAAACTTGATGATGACACTAAAGCACACATTAAGCGAGGCGAAGCGCTCAACATGTTTTGGGCCTCGCTTCATGGCTTAAGTGGGCCTTTGACAATACTGAATTCATCGGTACCATCTATGGCATTAGTCATATCATCATCATTGTAGCATTATTATCATCATTATCATCCTTAGTGTTATCATTTTTATTGTTGTTCGTGTGACAACTATCTTTCAGTTCTTGCCCGCCTCAGAATCCATACTCATGGTTGCTTTTAGGTTATCTCTTACCTTGTGCATAACAACACCTTCAAACACGAAAGCACCACTGAGAATATTAGAAGCTCCCGGCCATATTATCATCTGTTTCACTTTGGTACCGACTGGAAATTTCTCCTTGTTTTAGGTTGGCGATTTGGGGCTATCCAAAGTGAAATGTCAAACACTTATCTCAGGCGGTGTACGAGGAACTCTTCCCTGGATGGCACCAGAACTTCTCAATGGAAGCAGCAGTCTTGTCTCTGAGAAGGTATAAAAAAAAATTATTTTGTTTCAATTCGTTTGTCTGTTTTTGACTTGAAATGGATTTTAAGACACTAAAATGGACTTTTGAATCCTGTAGTCTTACTTCAATTTTGTAGTCTTAAACATGTCACGTGAAAGTTGGAATTAATAACTTGCCAATAAAGCTAAGAGGGAAGAGGTATTCTTTTCAGAACGGACTAAAAAGGAAAGTATGACAAACAAAGTCATATGTAGGGGGTAATAATTCTACCTCTTTATCCCTGCTTGTTGACGCGTACTTTGCTGGTCGTGTTTGTAGGTTGACGTATTCTCCTTTGGAATTGTACTGTGGGAACTTCTTACTGGAGAAGAACCATATGCCGAATTGCACTATGGGGCTATAATTGGTAACGATTTCCAAATCTTCTTTTTCATCTTCCATCAAATATTGTCCAAATGCCTTCTAAGTCAACAAACCAGTTCGAGTATTAACAACTGAATCCCGATGCAGGTGGTATCGTGAGTAACACCTTGCGTCCTCCAGTGCCCGAGTCCTGTGACCCAGATTGGAGGTCACTCATGGAGAGGTGTTGGTCAGCTGAACCGTCCGAGAGGCCTAACTTCACTGAGATTGCCAACGAGCTACGAGTGATGCAGTCTAAGATCCCTCCCAAAGGACAAAACCAACAATCATCTCCCTCAGCAAACACCAACCAAGCTAAAACTTAATTTTCTTCACTGTCCTTTGTAGTTGCTTCTTTTTTTTTTTTTACCTTGATAAACTTAGGTATATAAATTAGCTCAAAGTAACACATAATATAGTTGCCTTATCTTTGTTTTCTGGTTTTTTTAGACCTCCATTACATTTTTATTATCGACTTAATTAGGGGTGTTCCAATACTGACCAAATTTACATCAAAATCAAAGTCAAAGTAACAGATCATTTTCTTCTCTCTAAGTTTGTTATGTAGGCGATTAATCAACTTGGTTGGGACTGAGGCGTTGATTAATCGATTATCATGTGTTTGTAATCAACTTCATTATATTATTGCGCGATTAGTGCGTCTTAAACCTTTTGAAAAAAAATATGCATTTTTAGTGAAATTTTTACACGTTAATTTATGGAACATATGTCCATTTTCTTTGACTAGTAAAGTTCTAAATTATGATTCACATCATTAGGTGAATTAAGTATGAATATTAGTATTGACTTGTTAAAATACATATTTCTTTGATTAGACAAATATTTTAATCTTCATATACTAATACACTTATAGTTCATTATGTAAATCATGAATTAATATTAATCAACATTATTGTTAATGAGTGTGATTAAAGATTGCTGGTGCTTGATTAATTAATTTAATTGATTCTCTGTGCTATCCGAAAAGAAAAAAACAAGAAGCATATCCAATTTGGGATAGAGCTAAGATAGAGTGACTAATATGAAATTTCTGTGTCGATGTGAAATTTTTGTTTACGTATAAATTATCAAACGTTGAACTTCATTCGGCTTGTTCAGATACTTTTTTGTATTTTAAACTTTATTAGTGAAAATTTTGATTCCGATAATCATATAATTGATGTAATTAATTATTGTCTTGTTACTTTTTACTTTGGAAAATATCTTACAACCTGTCCCCACCACCTAACGGATCTCTTATCTTTTAGGACTATGCATATCAACTCTAATTATTCTTTAATGAACTTAATTTGATTTGATATAGTATATAGTATTTTTTTTTCTATTTTTAATTTATATTGCGAGCTTATAGGACTAATTAATATGACTTTTATCATTTTAAGAGATTTAACTAACTCTGTGAATTTGAATTAATCGAAACATTAAAGATGATTAGGTTCTCGATATAAATAATTAGTACTTTTTGGTATATATAAAAAAAAAGTCATATCCTTTATATATACATATCCTTCAACGCGTTGTGAACACTTAGTTGTATTTCCCTTTTTTCTTCTTAGCTTTCAATACTTTCATTTATTTCTAGTTAAAGTCTTATTTCTCTCTTTGAAGGATTAATGTTTTATGTCTCACCAATTCATTTTAATTATTTGTCCTCAATAAATAATACTATAATAATTTTTATTAAAAAAAAATGCAATTATAGAAATATAGAATCTTTAGATATAATAGCAAGAGAATAGTATAAAATTTAAAAAACGTTTAACTACTTAATATTTTTCAACTCTGAATCTTCATATTCTTTCATCAAAGGTTATCTCAATAAGCATTTCTCAATATTTTCGATCTACCTTTATATATAACCTTATACCCGTCCCGCCCCACAACTAAATACTAATTTCTCATACCTTAATTTGGGTATATTAGTATATTTTCTTTTCACGTGCCAAAATTAATAACCATATAGATTCTAATGACAGTAAAAAGAATAATATTAAAATTAAGTATATATTTCCATAACAATTGACCGTATAATTATAAAAGGATAATGCACAACTATCCCTCAATCTATGTTCGAAATCTCAAAAACACATTTATACTATACTCAGGTCCTATTAACCCTCCGAAACTTATTTTATCAATAACTTTACTCTTTTTGGTCTACGTGATATTATCTCGTAGACTTAATATTAATTGATTTTTTTTCAAACTAATATCTTTAGAATTTTGGACATAGACATAAAGTGTATTTGCATTTTCTCTAATATAAATCATATAATTTCAGAAAAAAATCAACCAAAACTTTTACTTAGTCAAAAAGAAAAATCATCAAAACACCTCATTTCTTTCATCTTTCTCAGCCGTCTCCTCACACAATACACACACGCATATACATACAATATATATATATATATATAGCCACCATTTTTCTCCATCTCCACCACCGTTCATCTTCCACCCCACCCCCACTGCACCCAAACCCAGAACCCCAAATCTCAAACACCCCAACATATCGATTTTCCACTGAATTTTCAAGAACAGAGCACAAAGAAGAACAGCTAAGATACACAACCATCACCTCGAAATCGCCCAAAAGAACACACCAAGATCGTAACTTTAGCTGAAATTTCAAGAATATTAAACAGAGCACAACGAAGAACGGCTAATATACCCCTAAACACAAACACCCAGATCGATTTTCAGCTGAATTTGCAAGAATATTAAACAGAGCAAGACGAAGAACACCTGATATACCCCAAAACACACACACCCAGATCGATTTTTGATCAAGTAAAATGATGAACAACACTTATTCACCTATCAGAGAAACTGCCCAAGAAGGAACAGATTATTCCTATTATCACGAAGAACCCTCTTCAATTTGGTGCGCTTGTTTCAGATTCCCCTGTTTCCCATCAACCCAAAAAGAAGGAGAAGCAAATTCTCTCCTCCATGAAAGAGAAAACAGAGATTCATGGATAGTGAAAAATATGAAGGAATTGAAAGAGTATTCTGAACTTATAGCTGGACCCAAATGGAAGAATTTGGTGAGGAAGATCGGAAAATACTGTAATCCTAAGAAATCTTCAGCCAAAACGACGCAGTTTCAGTATGATTCAGATAGTTATGCTCTCAATTTCGACAATGGCGGTGGTGATGGTAGGGAAGATGATGATGGGCTTTTACGTAATTTCTCATCTCGATTTGCTGCTCCATTTTCTGGTTTTGTTGCTAATAATAATAATAATAATCCAAATAAAAATGATGCTTTGTGATAATTATTTGAGAAAAAAAAAATTGTGATTTATGATTTATTGTATATTTAGGAGAGAAAATGGTGTGAACTTGATTTTATATAAATTTAATTAATTTATTGTAGAAGTAATATTCCCCCATTTACAATTTTTGTAGTTAAATTTATTGAACTTGTGATTAGTTAACCCTTCTTTATATATCGTTTGGATTTTTTAATTTTAAAGATTATAAACTAATATAATAGTAATAATGATATATTCAGTATGTTCTTATAAATAACATATTTAAGCTTTATATTTTTATCTTTATAAGATAGGTGAATCGTTTCAAAATTTTAAGGCGTTTTTTTTTAACTAATTCTACACCGATGAAGACATTATAGTTATGTAAATCCTCTTATTGTAATTTTGTAGATTTCTATATAAAAAATAATAAATAATTGGTCTAGTTCACTCTTTTATGTTTCATATTATATACGAATTATTATTATACATGAATTATACGTAATTAGATGTTGTTTTAATTGAATTCTTATTATCTATCATCTCATGCTTAGAATTTTTTTTTGTATTATTGAAATAATAAAGAGGGAAATTTATATAAATATACTGTAATGATAAAATGTTTATCATTTATAGTAATGATATTTTTTTTCCATTTGATCAGTATTAATTCATTTATAATACAAATTTAATAAATATTACAAAGAATAATTTACTATTCACATATAATACAAGTTCTAATGATTTATAATACATTTATCACACATTTTAGTATATTTATAATATAATGTGTCAAATTTTTACTAAACAAACATAATATATTTCAAAAAACAATTATAATTCATATATATTGCATATATAATTGACTTTTAATTCATATGGCAGATTTAACATAATATTGCTATAAATGATAATAAATAAAATAATATTGCTAAAATCAGTAATTATTTATTAAAATGTACCCGTTCATGTTATTTTTTCTAATAAAAAAACTAATGTGCAATAATTATTCTTGTATGGTGAAAATTATTGACTTTATAGTAAAGTTAAGTTTCACTTCATTATTCCTTGAGCAAAGGAAACGAATCTAGAAATATGGAATATAAAGTAAACTACTTATTGTAAAAGTCAAGTAAAAGAAAATTACACTTCATTCTATTGACAAAATACAGAATAAAACAAAATATATTTAATACTAATTAATATTTTTCTTTTATTTTAATTTAACATAAAAATTTTAAAATATCAAAATATTATTTAATCTCATGTTAACATAAAAGCCGGCCTTAGGCGGCTCAAAATAAACATGTGCCATCGTAGAAACTTTAGTTAGGATTTTGCCACCTTCTATTCGATATTTATTTTTATTTATGTTAAAAAAAATAATTTTAAAAATATAATGCTTTTTCTTAAATAATAATTTTATTTTCATAATAAAAATAATTTATAATTTTGTCTCAATTATTGATGGTGCCCGCCTTTATAGACCAAGCTATGTGCATCCCACGATGTAGATTAAAGAAATTTCAATTCTTTTGTATATATATATTGTATATGCTAATGTTTTTAAAATATTGTTGTGGCCAACTTGTCTACGTTTTTTAAAAGATATTTGGAAGATTCCTTTGTCCTAAAATAAATGATAACATGAATAACCAAGTAACTTTATAATTTAGTGATAGTGATGTTTTATTTTTCTTAATGTATAGGTATTTGTTCAATTTAAAAATAAAA